GCCCCCCCCCCCAGTTAGAAGTTTTCTGGAAATAGTTTTTAAAGATTCATATCTTTAGTTTGTAAAACTTGCGTGTCATATGATTTCATGAAATTTGTATAAACATTTACTTTGAGTCCTTTTAGGGAACATCTTGAGAAAATCTATCAAATTAGAAACCGTTACATATTCATGTTTCAGAATCTCTTACCAAGTAAACTGTTGAGCATTTTAAGCCAGGATGTGGCGTTAATATGGCGTTAGGACAAGAAGTTTGTTCTTGAATTGCCGGTTTCCCCATGAGGTCAGTGAGTTGTCCTTAAATCGGTACATAAAAGAAATACCTGCATGCCTGCTTCGTGAATAGTTTGTGTTGGAAGCTATAGCAAAATATAAAGACGTGCTAAGAGAGCACACCTCCCCCGTCGCCAGGCATTTGTGATCTTACAGGAACGATAAGAGATGACCAGCATTTGAGTGAGTTGTTATGGGGTAGACACTGTGCTTGTTAGTTTTAAATCGGAAACATTTTACGTAATTCTCACCAGTATCCGAGGTAAGTAATATTTGTATTCTGTGAAAGAGAACACAGGCTTTAGAGAAATTAAGTTGCTTGCCTAGGATAACACATAATAAGTGGCAGAGACTAGAACCCAAGTTGCTGAGCCTCAAAACCCACACTGCTGTTCATTTTACTGTTCCATGAGTATTCATCAGCAATGAATAAAGGAAGTGCTGGGAGTGAGAGATGCCGGGAGTAATGGAATTAGAAAAGCCTCAGTGGAAAAGAAAATAAAAATACTTTTAAAAAATATTATTTATTTATTTATTTATTTTTTTGGTTAAGTCCCGAAAGTCCTGTGAGGTTCTGAGGAAGAAAGAAAGGTTATTGTGAAGAGAGCTCCCAAGTACTCTGGCACTAAAGCTAATGCATGTGGTTATCTGTCTCCAGGCAGTTCTGCCTGGAGAACATTTACTCACCCAGGAGAGTCTGTAAGAGTGGAACTAATTCATTTAGTTAACTTGGAAATACGATGTGTTTCTGATGGATTCTGCTGGGAATGATCGGAGCCTTGGCTTTAGCAGCAGTACATCAGAATATAAAATTGACCTCACACGATTGCTGATCTCCAACCACCAACCCCTATGCTCACTACCTCATTCGTTTTGGCTTAAAATTGGTGCACGGGTCAATTGCAAGGGTCTGTCTTTGTTTTCCTTTGGGTGAGATCCAGAAACATTTCAGTAATTCCTAATCCACCTCATTTTGCTTCGTTTCAGCATTCATTTTACAGAATATAGGTACTAGGCATATTTCAGTTTTAAAATAATTCCTGTACATTTGTATAGACTAATAGGTATTGGTAGCTTATTTAGAGTTACTCACATATAAGTGAATTTATATTTTTTTTTACATTGTAATGTGTTTTAATTTAGCAGTGTGTTTAGTGCATTTTAATTGAATAGCACTTATCTTTCCCCAGTGGAAGCATCAGTTCATAGCAGTAATGCACACTGTACAGATAAGACGATTGAAGCTGCTGAAGCCCTCCTTCATATGGAATCTCCTACCTGCTTGAGGGATTCAAGAAGCCCTGGTATGTGAACTGTTTGTTTTTTCCCATTAAACCTGTCACATTACTTGGTATGTCTGTAATGAAGTTTGTCTTGTTTTGTTTTCTTTTTTGTTTCTTCTTTCTTTAATGCAAGGAAGGGATTGTTGGAATTCTCAAAGATCTGTTACGAAGGTTGGGGGAGGGTAGTAGGTGGCATGGTGTTTAAGGTTCTGGGCTCATCCTGGACCTGGTGACTTGAAAATCACACTGGGCACATCAGGCACATATGCATGCCCAAAATCCTGAGAGGAAAATGGAGATGGGATTGCAGTGTGGCCATCACCCCCTAGGCCAGTGATTTCTCACTTTCCCTCTCTTATCCCAGTGGGCACACTTGTCCTATGGCAAAAAACCTTAAAAAATAATACATAAAAAGTCTATTACATATAAATACCTGGCTGCAGTAATTGAGCTTTATTTGCCAAAGTTTCCAAATCTTAAATGCTTGAAATACTTAGTTTTCATAATAAATGAAACTGAACAGTGTCCACAATAGACAGGCAGCTGTTTATATACCATTGTGTCTATACCCTTCACTCAAGGGAAATGATAAGCCTTTGCAGTTTGGTAGACTGGAGCAGTTGCCTCCTGTGACCACTTCAAATCCTTTATATATGACAGACAGTAATTCCAGGGAGCCGTGACCAGCAGTTGGTGTAATGGCTATGTTGCTAGAGACTCCCATGTACTTGACCGCGGTTTGAGTTCTGGACCTGGTGGCTTAAACTCATGCTGGGTGTGTGTGTACATGGCCAAGATCCCAAGAAGAGAACATAGGAGAAGGGATTGCGGTGTGGCCATCCCGCCATGGGGGTGATTTCTTGCTTGCTTTTTTTTTTGGATAGGTTTTTGCTATAGGGTGCATGTGCTTGCCAGACAGACAGAGACAGAGAGACAGACAGAAAGCGAGAAATCACCACCCCAGGGGGGATGGCCATGTCGCAATCCCTCCTCCTCCATTCTCCTCTCGGAATCTTGGGCACGCACGCACACACACCTGGCATGAGTTTCAGCTGCTGGGTCTAGGACTCGAACTGTGGTCGACTACATGGGAGTCCAGCGACATAACCATTATGGTAACTGCTGGTCCCGTGATTTCTCGCTTTCTGTCTCTCTGTCTTTCTGGCGAGCGCACGCGCCCTATAGCAAAAACCTCTACAAAAAAACCACAAAATAACAACAACAACAACTCCAGGGAGCCATCCAGTATCTAGCAAAGAGCTCATGCCATTTTCTTTACCCTTCCTTTAGCCTATGAATTTTCCTTTTCTTTTGATCCCTTTTTTTCTTTGAAGACTTACTTTGATAAGTCATTTTGTATTAGTTATAATTTAATGTCCAAATGTTAATTTGACTTGATGCAGTAAGATTGACCCTTCTTCTCACAAGGATTTACAGTAAATGCTAAGAACACCTGTGCTTTGAATTTTTTGAAGATTAGTTTTTGTATTTTTAAGATAGGATATTGGTTGGCTGTTCTAAGCCCAGCCAGCCTGTGCTCCCTTCTTGAGAGTGTAATTTTCTTTGCTCAGCCAAATCAAGTTTCCATACTATCTGCCCAAAAAAAAAAAAAGACAAGATCTTACTTAAGTTGACTTCCTCATGCTTCAGCCTCCTGAGTAGCTGGGACAGTAGGTCCATGCCACTGTACCTGGCTTTTTGCACTGGACTGGAAATCAAACCTGGGCCTCCCATGTGTACTCAACTTGCCAAGTAGTAGGTCAGCCATTGTGTGCTACTGTGGCTGGGCCAACCTCACCTTCCCCCACCCCCTTATTTCATGAGGAGGGGTACTTTTTGACAGGGTCTTGCCTTTACAATCTTCTGCCCCAGCCTGCAACTTTTAACCAGGAATACAGGGGTATGCTATGGTTCCCAACCTGTTCAAGTTAGTCCGGGATACGAACCCGGACATCCCTTGGGGCCCCAGCCTCACACAGTTGATACCCTACTATTTGGGCCAGTGTGGGTGGGCTACCAGCCATACTTGTAAAATGAAATAGGAATCCCATGTCTTGCTCATGGTTACGAGAAGAAAATTCGGGTATTGTTGGTTTAATCTTTAACTGCATCTCTGAAATGAAATAGAAATGTCAAATCCTGATCATTTGGGCATGCTGGGAGGAAGCCTGAGCAACATTGTTGTATATAGTAGAATGCCATGTGCAATCTGTACATAATGTTTTTTTAGAATTTTAAAAATTTTATTATTATTATTTAAAATGTGCTACAGGTCACATGTGCTCACCAGAGAGACAGAGAGAGAGGGAAAGTGAGAAAGCTAGTCGCTACGTCTGGGACTCGAACCATGGTCGACTATGTGGGAGTCCAGCATAGTAACCACCACACCAGCTGCTGGCCCAGATTTTTAATATTGAAGAAGGATAATTCATTGGTCTATAATGAATAGATTTATCTTTTCTTCATGTTCTAAAATGAACTATAGGTGCTTTTTACTAAATAGATTTTTGCAAATCATCTAAATTTCATATTACTTAAAGGCCAATGAGGGACACATGAAAGGAAAGTAATTATTAAGGATATTTTTCTACAGTGAGCTTGAAAGGATCTAAAATTGTGAAGAAATGAAGGGGGTACTCTTCATGGTCTTTACCTTACCCAGAACATTAACCTCTCCTTCAAGTTCATTTTATGATTCTTTCCTTGTATACTTCAGCTCATAGTGAATAGTAAGCAAATGGACTTCTTCAGGAGTAAGCTCTTAATGACCCATGTTGACGAGTTCTTACTGAACCTTAACGCCTTCTGTGTATTGAACTGTCCACGTAGGAAACATTTTTGCGGGTGGGAAGTTTTAATTTTTCAACTTTTTTTTATAGTGGAAGTGTTTGTCCCTCCTTGTGTATCAACTCCAGAATTCATCCATGCTGCTATGAGGCCAGACGTCATTACAGAAACTGTAGTGGAGGTGTCAACTGAAGAGTCGGAGCCAATGGATACCTCTCCCATCCCCACATCACCAGATAGCCATGAACCGATGAGGAAGAAAAAAGGTAGAGGCTATATTTAAACATTTCTGAGAAAACAGATGATATTTTTTCTGGTATAGTTTTCCCCGTCGAGAGATGTAGCAATATTAATGTACTGTAATAATAGCATTTAAGATTAATGTTAAGTATATATTGACAGATCGAGACTTTTGTGTTTTAGTATGTTCAGACTATTTAAAGGAGTTCGTATTTAAACTCTGAAGGTACTTGTCTGAAAATGAGGATATATCAGGTGTTGGACGCAGAGGAAAGCGTCCTGCATACCTCTCTTACCGTTTCTTTTACCTTTTGATCCTTTTATAGGTAACTTGGTTATATTTTTGAAAGTTTTTGTTCTTTACTTTCTCTATTTTGTATAGTCTTCTTCCTCTTTGGTGGCTGTTTAAAAAAAAAGCCCAAGTGGGACCAGCAGTTGCTGTAATGGCTATGTCACTGGATTTCCATGTAGTCGACTGGGGTTTGAGTCCTGGACCTGGTGGCTTAAACTCAGGCCGGGCACATGTGCATGCATGCCCAAGATCCCGAGAGGAAAATGGAGGAGAAGGGATTGCAGCGTGGCCACCCCCCTGGGGGGTGATTTCTCTCTTTCTGTCTCTCTCTCATTCTGGTGGGCACATGCACCCTATAGCAAAAACCTCTCCCCCCAAAAAAAGCCCAGGTTAGCTTGTGGCATGGTGTTTAAGGTGGCTGGACCCCACACAACTGACTGCACAGTTCAGGTCCCAAAGCCAGCAGCTCGAAAATCACACTGGGCACATGTGAGTGTCCAGAATCCCAAGAGGAGAATGGAGGAGGAGGGATTGAGGCATGGCCATCTTCTATGAGGAGGTGATTTCTCAGTAATGTTTCTTCATTCCTTCTGTCTAAAACATCAGTATTGCCAGTAAAGACCTCCAATTGGGTGAAGAAAAGAGCATTTCCACTTAGTTTGACTCTGGCTGAAACCTGTGCTCACCTGATCCCAAAGGGTGGGGCTCAGGGCTTCAGCATTGTCTCCAACTTCACAAGGAAATTAGCAGTGAGGGGTCCTTTTCTCTTCAGATCAAGGTGAGACTTGAAAGATAGGAAATCCTAAGTAAATGGGTATCCATCTCATTCCACTTTCTTCTCTATCTCTTTCTTCACATTTTAGAGTGGGGATAGCATGTCAAAGGTTAAAATGAGGGAGGCCTAGTCCTGTGACCTAGTGATAAAGAGAGCTGGACCCCACATGGCCCACCATGGGTTTGATTCCTGGCCCTGGCAGCTTGAAAATACATGCCCGGCACATGTGTGTGCATGCCCCAAATCCCAGGAGGACGGTGAAAGGGGGAAGGGATTGCAGGGTGGCCGTGCTCCATTGGGGGAGTACTCTTGCCCCCTTCCTCTGTCTGTCTCTCCGCAAGTTCACATCCCTCTGGCAATTGAAACTAACAGAAACTTGCTCCATGGCCCGGTGATTGAGGCAGCTGGTTCTCACATGGCCAACTGTGCAGTTCCGAGTCCTAGACCAGTAGCTTAAGACACACTCCAGGCATGTGCGAATGTGTGCCCAAGATCCCGACAGGATAGATTTACAGCCGAAAATGTTTCAAATGCACATATAAATAACCTTACTTACCCATTACCCACTGCAGTCATTGGCTGATTGCACCTAGTGGGAGCTGTTAAAAACACTTAAATTTTTAGATTTGGAAAAGACCATGAAATACAGGGGTCATGTTGAGAACTAGGATGTGGTATGATACAAACTAGGAAATAATTTTGCCAATTTAATACTAATTTTATGTCTTTGAAAGCTCTAAATAAATGGCCATTTAAAAATTACAAATTATTGGGACTAGCAGATGGCATAATGGTTGTATGTTGCTGGACTCCCACGTAGTCAACTCGTTTTGAATCCTGGACCCAGCAGCTTAAAACTCACGCTGGTGTGCGTGTGTGTGTGCCCAAAATTCCAAAAGGAGAACAGAGGAGAAGAGATTGCAACATGGCCATCCCCATGGGAGGTCGTTTCTCACTTCCTATCTCTCTGTCTCTGTCTCTCTGGTGAGTGTATCTGCCCTGTAGTGAAAATCTCTCTCTTAAAACAAAAATGACAAATAACTGTTCTGTGCTCATTGCATTACTGTAAGGGAAACAGTGAAGACTTGGGACATTTGGAGTTACATAAGTTATTTTATTAGTCTTTCATTCCAGTGCCTGTAACAGTCTAATGTGCATCGTGACTCCCCAAGAAAAGATAGCATGGCCATTCTAACGTTAATCTGGTTGTACAGTCCTTTTTTTTCTGTTGAGGAATACTCTATTAATTTATCAAGGAACATGGTTTCAGGAGTGCAGCTTTATAGGAAAATAAATGAAGCCTTTTGAGGCTAACCTTTCTGTTAAGAGGAGCTTTCATACTCAAATTTAGGAGATGGTGAAAATGTTAACTTATTGCTCACCGATTTGTACATATAAATATTATTTATTAGCTCTTTTTTTTTTAAATAATTATTTAGTTTTTATTATTGAAAAAAATTTTTAGCGAGGGCTTTTTTCTTTTTTTTTCTTTTTTTTTTTTTGCCATAGGGTGTGTACATGCGCTGGAGAGACAGAGAGACAGAAAGTGAGAAATCAGCCTCCAGGGGAGATGGCCATGCTGCAATCCCTTCTCCTCCATTCTCCTCTCGGGATCTTGGGCTCGTGTGCACACGTACGTCTGGTGTGAGTTCTAAGCCACTGTGTCTGGGACTTGAACTGTGACTGACTATGCAGGAGTCCAGCAATGTAACCATTATGCCATCTGCTGTTCTCCATGTTATAGCAGTAGTATTTATTTTAAAGAACTGTTTAACTTTATTTATTTCAATTTGACCAGAAAGGGACAGTGTGCCAGAGAGAAAGAGAAAGTGAGAACGCAAGCCATCAGATCTGGGACTTGAAACACAGTCGTCTATGTGGGAGTCCAGTGCCCTTAACCACCACACCACCTGCTGGCCCCTATTACTATTTTTAAATAATTATTTTATTTAACTTTATTTATTTATTTATTTTTATTTTGACCATAGAGGGACAGAGTGAGAGAGCGAGGGAAAGTGAGAAAGCAAGCCGCCAAGTCCAGGACTCGAATCTTGGTCGGCCATGTGAGAGTCCAGCGTTCTTAACCACCACACCACCTGCTTGCCCCCCATTATTATATTTAAGAGAGGTTTTTGGTATAGGGCATGTGCATTTGCCAGAGGGACAGAGACAGAGAGTGAGAAAGTGAGAAATCACTCCCTGGGAGGATGGCCATGCCCCACTCACTTCTCCTCCATTCTCCTCTTGGGATTTTGGGCATGTACGCACACGTGCCTGGCGAGATTTACTCGAACTGTGGTTGGCCATGTAGAAGTTCAAGACCTTAACCACTATGCAACCTGCTGCCCAATTTTTGTTCATAATTATTACTACTATTTTGATTCACCATAGAGTGAGAAAGTGAGAAAGCAAGCTGCCAGGTCTGGGACTTAAAACGTGGTTGGCCATGTGGGAGTCCAGTACCTTAACCACTACACCCCAATTAGCTTTGTTTTCACAAGGAGATCTATGAGCTTTCTCTTTTAATTTTTGCCAAAGCATATTTCTTACTGATTAGAATTACCAGAATAAAATCCTAGAACATGTGTGTATGCATTTTGAAATATAAATTAAGACATTTTACTTTAGCTGCTTATATAGCTAATTTAAATTACTTCTGCTAATGAAGAATAGAGTGACATCAGAAATCCCAGAGGTATGACTATTGACAAATCAGTAATTTTTTTTAAAGAATTATTTTATTTTAACTTTATTTATTTATTTAAATTTGACCAGAGTGGGATAGAGTGAGAGAATAAGAGAGAAAGTGAGAAAGCAAACCACCAGGTTTGGGACTTGAACCATGGTCAGCCATGTGGGAGTCCAGCTCTTTTAACCACCACGCTGGCACCACCTGCTGGCACCAAATCAGTAATAATCTGTTAGGTTGTTGGGAAAGTCCATGATGTGTTTTTCTTTCTTTGTGAAATTATTTAATTTAACTTTATTTATTATTATTTTCTAGTTTTATCAGAGAGAGACAGAAAGAGAAAGAGGGAAAGTGAGAAAGCAAGCCTTTAGGTCCAGGACTTGAGCCACGTTGACCACGTGGGCGTCCAGTGCCTTTAACCACCGTGCTTACCTGTTGGCCCCTTTATGTTTTTCTGTGCAAAAATATGTCGTGAGTTTCCTGATGACCCAATATTTAATCTGAACATGTAATATACTTGCATATTCCCAGTCTCTTCTCTTCACCTGCTAATGTTCATCCATCTGGACTGAGGGTCAAATATAACTTCAGACTATGCCTTCTTAAGAGTAGAGAATTACCGCCCCAGCATTCTCTTCATTGTGGATGCTAAGCTGTCTGAGAGAACCTTGTGGCAGAAATGAGAAACAGAAGGGAAGGGTGCAAACATTTAGTAGACAGTTAAAATAGTGTAAAAGGTTAGTGCGTTGAGACCCTCATCGTGTAAGTAGATCAGTTGTACCTGATTTGCCATGTGTGTATTGCAACTACCACCACTTAACTACTCTCATCTAAACCTCCAGGCGTGTTTCCAATGCTCCATTAGAAGCAATTTTCATATGTATTAGCATGTAGTCTACAAATTAGTGTCTAGTTCAATGACTAATATGTTATCAGAGAGTCTACAACATGTTTCTGTCAGTTTTCCTGTTTTTCAATGTATGGTTTCTATATCTTCCTTTTCTAGTTGGCCGTAAACCAAAGACCCAGCAGTCGCCTATTTCCAATGGGTCTCCTGAGTTAGGTATAAAGAAGAAACCAAGAGAAGGAAAAGGTAATTTGGGGAGGGCTGTTTGGAGGTGAGAGGTTTTTTTTTTTTTTTTTTTTTCCCCAGTAAGGTGACAATTTGCATTTGTAAGAAATTTATTTCTAGTACATGCACTTATGGAGTCCTGTCTGGTAGTAGTTCTCCATCAGAGATGCATCAGCAGCACCTCTCAGCTTCTTAAACTAACTCTGCATGGCCCGTAGCTCACGAGATTCTGCAACCATGGCTGCCCTGTGTGCTGGGGCGGGGCCTTGAAGGAAGGAGCAGCTTTGATGTTTGATCAGGTCGGAGGGCAGTCTGATGTCCATCGTCCCTACGAGCCATTGTTTTAGAGGATATGTGTGTGTTTAATTGCACTTATCCCCACCTTGAGCCACTTAGAATGGAAAGAGGTTTACAACTAGGACTGTTTCTAAACTGGTTGGAAGCAATGTAAGACTTCAAGGCAAGCCAAATTTAATTTCCCAGTCAGCAGATTTCAGTCATGTTAGTCACCTGTCAGGATAAAAGGTACCCATGTTTTGCTTTAGAAGTTGTATATCCTCATTAAAATTAAAAATAGCAACATGCCTCTCCCATTCTGTGCTTTCATTAGTACGTTGGGTACGATGATGTCTACAAATAACATTTCAGCATTGGTTTTAGATGTGTTCTATATGATGTGCTGATGGGCCAGAAATTTATTATTTCTGTGAATAAATGTTTTCAGATCGATATTCAGTAGTTGGACAGACTCTATTGATATATCCAAGTTTATTCTATTCTTAACAGGTGGTGTGAATTATATATATATGATTTTAAATAAGTCAAAAATTTAATCTAGTTTTAAAAAATTCTTTAGTAAGCCTATAAGAAATTTGACACTTGGTTTTATACCAGAAAGAAAAAAAAAATACCCAGATATATTGAATAGATACTTATTCAGGAACTGATTACTCAATTTCAAATAGATAAAGAATAATTTTTCATTTCCTTTTCTGTGGTCATTTTATAGTTTTAACATCTTTGGTTTTGACCTTTATATTGAAAACTGAAAGGTATATAATCTTAGTAAATATTACAAAGCTAAACTATAAATATATAATGACCACTTTTTAAAAAATTTTCATCATTAGTGATACCTGTTAAAGACTTTATGTATGTAAAAACAGTGAGAAAACTTTTGTGACCTATTTTCATCAGTCAAAATCACCTTTCAGGGACCAGCAGTTAGCGTAATGGCTATGTCGCTGGACTCCCACGTAGTTGACCGCAGTTCGAGTCCCGGACCCGGTGGCTTAAAACTCACGCTGGGGGCATGTGCGTGCGTGCCCAAGATCCCAAGAGGAGAATGGAGGAGAAGGGATTGCTGTGTGGCCTTCCCCCCGGGGGGGTGATTTCTTGCTTTCTCTCTGTCTGTCTCTCTCTGCCTGTCTGGCGAGCGCACACGCCCTATAGCAAAAAAACCTCTCCAAAAAAAAAACAAAAATCACCCTTCATTAAAATTTCAATCTTGTATTATTAAACTTGAGACAGCATGTTATTTAATATGAAGATGAAAGTTACTTCAGACAAACTTGGGTGAAGAATCCAGCCAGTATTTCCTCTTCTGCAAAATTGTGATAATGTCTGTCGTAGGCATTTATCTTACTTGATTGCTTCCTTTTCTGAAGCTGGTAAAAACAGAAAGAGAATTCTTAGTTTTAATTTGGGAATGAGAACTTGGGTGGAGTGCTTAAAGATAACCCGAGGGAGGATTGTTGACAAGTCGAGTTAATTCAGACACCTGCTATGTACAAGGAAGGCATTGTTTATTTTGTACAGGAAATTTTTTTTTTTTTTTTGGATAATCTGGTTGTGAACAAAATAAAAATGCTCCCAGCTACACATTTTGCTGTAGCTACAGATGACACATGGTTTCATAGATTTTAGGTAGTGATGTGATTTAGAAGGACTCGAGAGACAGATGTGTCTCTGTGAAGTTGAAGGTCAGTCTTTTTACATCAAGAGACACATAGTGGGCTCAACTCTGGGCTATTCTTGAATTCACGGAATTTTAAGGTAAATTCAGAATGAAAATGAAATGCCAGAGGAGCGTCGGTGTTCGATTGACGGAGATGGGAGAGCGGTGGCTTGGCTCGGAGGCATCCCACCCTGAGAGCTGTTCTCACGTCGCCCATAGCTTGGATGAGGACCTGAGGCTAGTGAAGGGATAGTGAGCAGGAGCCCAGAGAAGACCGGTGATCCAGTGCTGGTCTGCGTCGTCTTGTCCTTCCTTCTCAGGACCCGAGAGGTTACAGAGGGAATAAATGAAAATCAGCTTGACAAGCCTGGCCATTGCCCACTGCCCTTCCCCCTTCCAAAGGGATCCTTATTTCTTATCCTTTTTGTGATTAAGTTCCGTATTTTATTTGTCCAGATTACTTCCTTCTCTATCATGCGTATTTAACCAAGACTTCATGATGTCTTAACCAATCCACTTTATTTTTACTCCCTAAACTTCACGTTTTCTGATAAACTTGGAGTGAATAATTATGTATTACCCTGTGATGTATCTTGTATTTAGTGTATTTTTGATTGGCAGAGGACATAATGTGCTAGCGGAGAGAGAGACAGAGACAGGTAGAAAGCACCCCCACGTTGAGTGTGGGCACACTGCAGTCTCTTCTCCTGTTTTCCATCCTGTTGGGTTGTTGAGCATGCGTGCACACATGTGCAGCATGTTTCCCAAGACACTGGAGTGGATTCAAACTCGTCGGTCATGTGGGTTTGGCCCCTTGAGTCACTAGGTTAAGGGGTCCCATTATGGTGGTTACATTATTTCAAACTATTACTGCTCCTTTTGCTATTTAACTTGTCACTTACTTTTTTCCCCTTCTCACCGAAACGGTAAATTATTTGAGGCAGAGACAGGTTTTTAATTCTTTGTATTCTCTGCTAAACTTAAAAGTAGTACATGAAAAATAATTTTTTTTTTCTGTAAACATACACTATTTCCTCATTTTAGTATTTTGCTAATATTTTAGGGAACATTTGATGAATACTTGACTAGTTTAAGGAATTGCCCTGTTACTATTTTTTAGTTTTCCTATTTAAGATGCTCATAGTTTGGAATAGCAGATGCTGTAATGGTTATGTCACTGAACTCCCATGTAGTCTACCACGGTCTGAGTCCTGAATCTGATGGCTTGAAATTCACCTGGGTGCATGTGCTCACATGCCCAAAATCCCAAGAGGAGAATGGAGGAGAAGGGATTAGGGCGTGGACATCTCGGGGTGGGGGTGTGGTTTCTTACTTTGTCTCTCTATCGAGTGCATCTGCCTATGGCAAAAATATCTCTCAAAAAAAAGATGCTTATATTTTAAGACTGAAGCACAAATGTCTTTAGTAATCTAGTTTTTCATATATAATGAAATGTTTTTTTAAAAAAAGATTTATTTAATTTCATTTGTTGTTGCTATTTTTTATTTGACCAGAGAGAGAGAGGAAGGGAAGGGAGAAAACAAGCTGCCAGGTCCAGGACTTGAACCGCGATCAGCCATGTGGGAATCCAGTGCTGTTAACCACCACGCCACTCACCGGCCTCATGAAATATTTTTAGTATATTACCTACCTTCACTCTACTAGATATAATCAGTAAAAAAAGATTAGGGAGTTTTTAAAGTCTGTTTTGAGACGCAGTAGTTTTCTTTGATACCAAATATAAACTGACTTGAATAGCCCGGAGGAAAGTAAGAGGATACGAGGGTTCCAGGTTGCGTGCATTGTTATAGGAGATGACATGGAACTCTGAGTTGGGGTCTGAAATTGAATCAGAGAAGTGGGTTTCTTACCAAAAATCCTACGACTACTTCCTCAAAGTTTTGTATGGTTTATTACACATTGCTGGCCTATTTAAGGAAATTAAGCGTCTTTTGTGAATTTCAAGCCTGGAATTTATCGTATTGTTGCAAATTTTATTTTATTCCGAGTTTGCCTCTGTGAATTTAATACATTTGCTTCTGTTAACTCAGGTTAACTTTGTGCTAAGCATTGTTCTTTGCCTTTATTGAACTGCGTATCTAGTATGGGTGACCTATATATGATAGTACAAAATCCAGGACCTTGACTGTATTAGTATCAGGACTGGAAACACGAACAAGTGTGTTTAGGATTTTTATTATAATGAAAGGTACTTTATTTGCTTTTAATTATGTTTTTGATTATGTTACTGAATTTGTAATCAGTGTTTACCATTGTCTTTGCTTTTGTTTTTAAAGGAAACACAACCTATTTGTGGGAGTTCCTTTTAGATCTCCTTCAAGATAAAAATACTTGTCCCCGGTATATTAAGTGGACTCAGAGAGAGAAAGGCATCTTCAAGCTCGTGGATTCAAAGGCTGTCTCTAAGCTTTGGGGAAAACATAAGAACAAGCCAGACATGAACTACGAAACTATGGGGCGAGCTTTGAGGTAAAAGCACAGATGAGCTGGTACTCAAGCAGAACTTGCCTGTTCTGAACATCAGCTGTTCCATTTCGAGAGACCTCAGAATCCCTTCTTACAGCTTTTAAACCTGGGTGGGGATATTAGAGGAGTTTCTCAGATTTGGAAGTAGATGGGGGTGGGGGACAGTTGGGTCTAGATGCATAAAATTTCAACATAATTGAAAACTCCATTTTTGTAGAAAAATGCACTTTTATACTGAAGATTATGTCTTATAGACATTGTTAAGTTGGGGGCCAGCAGATGGCATCATGATTAAGGGTGTTGGATTCCCACATGTCAGCCTGCAGTTCGAGTCTCGGCCCCTGCGGCTTGAAAAACATACCTGGCGTGTGTGTGCGTGCATGCCCAAAATTCCAGGAGGAGAATGGAGGAGAAGGGATTGCAGCATAGCCCTCTCCCTGGGAGGTGCTTTCTCACTTTCCCTCTCTCGTTTGTCTCCATGTGCACCTTGGTGAAAACCTTAACAACAACAAAACAAAATTGTTAAGTTGTAGGCCTTTAAAAACATTAAACCGTGGGGCTATCAGGTAGTGTGGTGGTTAAGGGCACTGAACTCCCACATGGCCAACCGTGGTTCGAGTCCCAGATCTGGTGGCTTGCTTTCTCACTTTCTCTCTGCCCCCTAAAATTTAAATAAATAAATAAATAAAGTTAAATAAAAATAGTTCTTTAAAAAAATAATGTAAGTGAAATACAGTTTCTAACATTACTTTTCTTGGTTAGTCCTGTGAATTTGTTGTAAATGGGACATTTCTTTTAAGTTGTCAGTTTGAGAAACTCAGAAAACTTTAATTATAATGTACATATCATCTTTTAGTTAAAGGTGTTTGTACATGAACACATAGTTTATGTGACAGTATTCCCATATCATACTAATTCATTTCTACTAAATGTGGCTTAGGTAATTTTTAAAATAAAATGGTAGACTGTGGGTCAGTCAGTGACATCAGGGTTAAACAGCCAGACCCCATGTGACCAACAGCATAGTTCAAATCCTGGACCCAGTGACATGAAAAAACACGCCAGACGTGTGTGTGCGTGCCCAAAATCCTGAGAAGTGAATGGAAGAGAAGGGATTGTGGTGTAGCCATTCCCCTGGGAGGTGCTTCTCATTTTCCTTCTCTTTCTCTCTGTCTCTCTCTCTCTCTATTGAGCATATGCAGCCCTCTAGCAAATTATAAAAGAAAAACACAACAAGGACTGGCAGGTGGCATGATGGTGGACTTTCACATGGCTGACCATGGTTAGAGTCCCAGACCTGGTAGCTTGCTTTCTTACTTTCCCTTTCTCTCTCTCTGTCTGTCTGTCTCTGGTCAAATTCTTTTAAAAATAACAATAACAAATATTAAGTAATTCTTTAAAACAACAACAAACCCAGCGGATTGTTGTTTTTTTTTTGTTTGTTTTGTTTTTGAGAGGTTTTTGCTATAGAGTGTGTGCACTTGCCATAAAGACAGAGAGAGAGAGACAGAAAGAAAGAAATCACCTTTCCCCAGGGGGGATGCCACACCTCAATCCCTTCTCCATTCTCCTCTCAGGATCTTGGGCACTCACGCACACACGCCGGCGTGAGTTTAAGCCACTGGGTCCGGGACTCAAACTGTGGTCGAACACATGGGAGTCCAGCGACATAGCCATTATGCCAACTGAAAGTCCCCAGCAGGTTGTTTTAATAACCTATGTAAACCAGAGTAAAATTTCTACTAGTGTTAGTGAAATATTCTGTGTTTAGGTTTAGTTACTTAAGAAAGCACAGTTATTTGCAGAAGGAACTTGTAGATCTCTAGGTGGCACCAGCTTCCAACTTCCTTCCGAGTCTAAATCCTTCACTGCCTTTCAAGCAGTCAGAGCAGTCAGAGCTCCTCTCTCACCTCTTCCAGGAATAAATGAATGCTTCTGTTAGTATCCACTGTATCCTTTTTTAGAAGGAATAAAGGTAATTTTATTCATTTAGTACTTTTCTCCTTTACAGATACTACTACCAAAGGGGAATTCTCGCGAAGGTTGAAGGACAGAGGCTTGTGTATCAGTTCAAGGATATGCCCAAAAACATAGTGGTCATAGATGATGACAAAAGTGAAACCTGTAATGAGGATTTAGCGGTAGCCACTGATGAAAAGTCGTTAGAACGGGTGTCACTGTCTGCAGAAAGTCTCCTAAAAGCGGCAACCTCTGTGCGTGGTGGGAAGAACTCATCTCCCGTAAACTGCTCCAGAGCAGAGAAGGGCGTAGCTCGAGTTGTGAATATCACTTCCCCTGGGCACGATGCTTCGTCCAGGTCTCCCACCACCACCACGTCTGTATCCGCCACAGCCGCTCCGAGGTAAGTGAGGCAGACCACTCGTGGTGATGTATTTACCTTTTTGAAGAGGTGAAAATGGGATAACAACAGCATTCTAACAACCCAGTGTGGCCAGAGCTCTAAAACGTGCTTGATATTTTAAATGTATTTGTTGTGAGGTAGATGCCTGAGCTAACCTGCATTAGTATTCTTGGTTTAAGGGGCGGAGAGCCATGTGGGCTTGTTTTCTTTTTTTTACTATCCATGTTTCATGGTATCTCATTTTCTAATCTTCGGGCATTGCCATATCTGTCCAGTTGGGGAGCACTAGTAATAGACTTTTTTATTTGCATTCATCGATTTGCTCTAGAGACCCGTTTTCTAACATGGCATTAGACAAAATCAGCTTCTTTCTTTTTCATCTACTAGGACAGTTCGTGTGGCAATGCAAGTACCTGTTGTAATGACATCCTTGGGCCAGAAAATTTCAACTGTGGCTGTTCAGTCAGTTAACGCAGGTGCACCTTTAATAACCAGCACTAGTCCAACCACAGCGACCTCTCCAAAGGTAGTCATTCAGACAATCCCTACTGTGATGCCAGCCTCCGCTGAGAACGGAGACAAAATCACCATGCAGCCTGCCAAAATCATCACCATCCCAGCCACACAGCTCACACAGTGTCAACTGCAGACAAAGTCGAATCTAGCCGGATCAGGAAGCATTAACATTGTGGGAACCCCCCTGGCTGTGAGAGCACTTACCCCTGTTTCAATAGCCCACGGTACTCCTGTAATGAGACTATCAGTGCCTACGCAGCAGGCATCTGGCCAGACTCCTCCTCGAGTCATCAGTGCGGTCATAAAAGGGCCGGAGGTTAAATCAGAAGCAGTGGCAAAAAAGCAGGAGCACGATGTGAAAACTTTGCAGCTGGTAGAAGAAAAACCAGCAGATGGAAATAAGACAGTGACCCACGTAGTGGTCGTCAGTGCGCCCTCAGCTATCGCCCTTCCTGTAACTATGAAAACAGAAGGACTAGTGGCATGTGAGAAATAAAACTGCAGCTCCACCGTGGACTTGAGACTGTTAGCGGTAGTACTGATGTAAACGCGTGCAAGGGAAGTCATCAAGAAAAGTCAAAGAAGACTTTAAAACATTTTTAATGCATCTAAGAAAAACAATCAGACTTACTGGAAATAAATTACCTATCCCATGTTTAAGTGGGAAATGAACTACATATTGAGATGCTGACAGAAAACTGCCTCTTACAGTAGGAAACAACTGAACCCATCCATAAGAAAAAGGATTCAAAGGGACCAAGCAGATCACTACGCTATCAAGTTACACTAAGACTTGGAACACTAACATTCTGTAAGAGGTGATATAGTTTTCATCGGGGAGGGGTTGGGAAGGGTGATCTCATTGTTACATATAGCAATTTTTGATGCATTTTATATGCATACCAGCAATTACTACTGTGTTCGCACAGTATTCACTTAACTGGTGCTATGTGAAGACTCTGCTAATATAGGTATTTTAGAATGTGAATGGAAGAATGGATCCAAAAGCTTCAGGAGGAGGATAGCAAAAAAAAAAAAAAAAGATCTAGTGCGATTTTTTTTATATCATATAGCTTAAGCTGATTTAAAACAAAGGCCTTAGACTAATTTTCGGTTTTCTTTCTTGAAATAAGCTAATGGCTTTTTTGTGTAAAGCTTTTTTATTAAAAGAAAAAATTTTAAAAATCTTGTACCTAGCACAGTATTGTTATAGAATTTACATGTAACATTTTATATGGTAGTTTAAGTCTGTCAGTTTCTTAATTGTGGACAAATTAACAAACGGCTCTGGCCTTTTGCTGTAATATGCCTGTGTCACTCACTTAGCCCTGGCATCTGTGCAGACATATCAGTTTCAGTTCAACTGTCACTTGGAAGTTCAGGCTCAAGCATGAATTTTTTGTCAGGTAGCTCTAATACCTGGAGTTTTCTTTCTTTTTGTTTCTTTTCTTTTTTTCCTTTTCCTTTTCTTTCTTTTCTTTTCTTTTTTCTTTTCTTTTTTTTTTTTTAGTTGAAGTTTAAGAGGGAAAGTACCAGTGTTCAGATTTGAACTATAATAGTTTGTATATTCAACATTTGAAGTATATTCTATTTTGTTGTACTCTTGTTTCAAAGTGTATTCAAGTAGGTTTTCTGAAATATAGAAATGAAATTTATCTTGTGTTTTGGTCTCTGGTGATGTTTTTTTTTTTTTTAAACAATACTCAGAAGCCAGTATAAAGATGTTGTTTTAGTCATGAAATAATGGAAGTCGTATTTCTCCATCCTAGCCACTGCGTGAAGAAATGCTGCTTCTCTGTCGTTCCATTATGCTCACACTAGCATGTTACCGCTCCCTTTCTGAGTGCTCGCATGAACTGTAATGCTCTATGTAACGATAATGAATTTAGCATTTTAATTCGCCACACTTGAAGAATTTAGCCGTTTGTTTTTCAGGTTAGAAAGTTGAGGTACAAGAGAATTACGTGAATTACTTATTTTCACACAAAACTAGGTCCTATCCTACATCTTATCGTTCTTTTAAAGAAAAAGACAAGTTGTCTGTTTTCATAGCTTTCAGTAATCACTTGAATTGATAACTTGATTTTTGGCCTTTAATTGTGCATTTGATTGAAACACAACTTAGATCAACAAAGGTTGTTTTGTTTTGTTTTATTTGGCTATAGGGCGCGTGCACTTGCCAGAAAGGCAGAGAGAAACAAAGAGAAAGCGAGAAATCACCCCCCACGGGGGATTGCCACCTTGCAATCCCTTCTTCTCCATTCTCCTCTCGGGATCTTGGATACGCACACATATGTGCCTGGCATGAGTTTAAGCCACCGGATCCGGGACTCGAACCATGGGAGTTCAGCAACATAGCCATTATGCTAACTGCTGGTCCCAACAAAGGTTTTTATTAGTTCTCTTCCTAATCTTTTATCTTTTCATAAACATACTTCATGGTACTTTTTTATTAAAAGCTCAAAGAAAAACTCAGTTCTTATCCCATTTGGGAGTTGATATAAAATTTTACCTCCTTTTAAAGCATTTCCTAAATATTTCTGTTTTCAAAATTGATACTGTATGCTTTAGCACTTCAGTTGTATCATCTCTTCTCCATGATGGTTTCGCTTGTTTAGTTACGCTTTCAGTAATGATTTTTTTTTCTTTTTTTTTTTTTTTTGAGTAGTTTTTGTGTTAGGACACATATGTTTCCCAGAGAGGCAGATAATGAGAGGGAAAGTGAGAAATCACTTTCCAGGGGGATGGCCACGCCAAAATCCCTTCTTCGTTCTCCTCCCAGGATTTTGGACATGCACGCACATGTGCCCTTTGAGATTTTTAAGCCACTGGGTCAAAGATTCAAACTGCAGTTGGCCATGTGGGAGTCTAGCAACATAACCATAATGCCATCTGCTGGCCCCAGAGATTTTTTTTTTTTTTAATTAAGAAACAAAAAGAAGGTAGGAGGAGCCCAATCAGAACTGTTAGGTGGCTGCCTAAAATACTGTCCCATCAGAACTCTCAGAATTGCCCTTATTGAATGAGAGGAAAGAACAGGAAGTGCACTGGTGCGAGCATCCCCCAAAACAGTTGCCACGATCTTTGCTCTTGACCAGTCTGTTTGTGCTCCGACAGGATCACTTCCCTCGCCTCTCACTTTGAGTGTGCTTTGTCTTTGTCTTCAGGGTGGTAGTGGTAAAGTTGTGTGTCACCTCCTGTCATGGCTCTTTGAAGAAATACTTGAGGCTCTTGATCCCACTTGTTAAGGATTTCTATTGGAAGGTACCACAGTTTTGGGACCCATGAAGTGTAGAAATTTTACTCAGAATTGTGTAAGTTAAACCAGTTGCGATGTCTGTGGTGTTGGCTTTTGTTTCTGCTGTTTAATGTCTACTTCACTAGCACAAAGAATCGTTTTTCCTGGCAGAATGTTGCAGATTTTTTGCCAGTATGTGTCGTCATCTCATCCCTTTTCTTTCTTTCTTTACTTTTTTTTTTTTTTTTTTTGGCCAGTTGGCCTGTGCATTAGCTAGCCAGAGAGAGAGGGAGGAGAAAGCCCCCGCCCCGGGGTGTGGTCATAATGCTTTCTCCTTCATTTCTCCATCCTGTTGGTGTTTTGGGCATACACAGACACAGGCGGGCACAGTGTTTTTGAGCCAGGGGGCTGGGATGTGAACTGTAGTCAACCATGTGGTGTCCGACTCCCTTGACTGACCACTGTGCCACAGGGCTGCCCCTATCTTCTCCCTTCTTAAAATGAGTTGAGACATGTTATAACAAGTCAGTACAAGTTTATTTTCGTGCAAGAAACTTTTGAAATGCATGTGTAGTTTTTTTTTTTTTCCAACAATACACATTTTCCATGGACTTTTTGAAGTCTGTTCCTACCATCTTATACCGTACTTGGACCCCCGCTCCAATGCTGAGTGTAGTAGACACTTACTGTTTCTTTGTAAACAGATAATAACAATATTATCACTGTCTGGAAAGATATAGTCATATATAATGTGCAAATTCCTGAGTTGAAGGGCATCAATTCACTTTAATACTAAGTGGAAACGTGCTACATTTTAAGATCACCAGGGAAGTTTTGATTATTATTTCCCAGGTCACACTCCTACAAGTCTGGGAGTGGGAGCAATAAATCAGCATTTTAAAAAATATCTCTAAGGATGGGACCAGCAGATGGTGTAATGGTTGTTCTGCTGGACTCCCACACAGTCAAACATGGTTCAAGTCCCTGACCTAGCAGGTTAAAACTAATGTGGAGAGCGTGTGCACGTGTGCCCAAGATCATGAGAGGAGAATGGAGAAGGGATTGCAGCCTGGCCAACCCCCTGGGGGGTGATTTTTCACTCACTTTTTGTCTCTCTATATCTCTGGCGAGCTCACGCGCCCTATAGCAAAAAAATCTTCTTTAAAATCTCTAAGGTGACCTTCGCTATGCAACAGTTTGAGAATCACTGCCACATGGCTGCAAGGACAGCCTTAGCATTCAGTGAGTGGGTCACCTGAGTGCTTCTATTTTTTTTTTGGAGAGGTGTTTGCTATAGAGTGCATGCGCTCACTGGAAAGAGAGAGAGAGAGACAAAGAGACAGTAAGCGAGAAATCACTCCCCAGGGGGGATGGGCACACGTGCCCGGCGTGAGTTTAAGCTATTATTGGGTGCGGGATTTCAAACCACGGTTGACTACATGGGAGTCCAGCAACACAGCCATTACGCCAACTGCTGGTCCCATGAGTGCTTCTAAAATGGTCAATGGAAAAAGATAGTTCAAGACAGTTATGTGAATTAAGTATTTTGAAATGGCCTTCTAAAACCTATAAACTATGTTTTTTTCACCTTAAGCCTTTTTAATCACATTTACTATCTCCTTAATTAGGGTGAGCTTTTTTTTTTTTTTTTAAATTTGCTCCTCCATGGGAGAGAGACAGAGACAAGGGAAAGTGAGGAAACACCCCCAATAGGAAAGGCCACCCACAATCCCCTCTCCATTCTCTTCTTGGTATTTTGGGCACACACACATGATCCCAGTGTGGTTTGTTTTTTACCCTCAAGCCTTGCAGTCTGGGACCCAACCTGCATAGCTGGCCTTGTGGCCGGCCCAGGGCGAGTCTCTGTAGAGCCTTAGGAAACAGTACAGTATGTGCCTTCTCTCACTGAAGAAGTGACTGTGGAGAACTCTATGCTATTATCAGTATTGTTACTGTTGTTCCAAATACTTCTCAATTGCTTACAACAGAATGTAAAATGTAGAATTGTTACATAGAGGCTGAATTCCAGAAGATGGCAGTTTAGAGAGAGTCAAGCCATTTGAGGTCAAGAGGTTGTGAGTGGGAACCAGCAGTTAGCGTAATGGCTATGTTGCTGGACTCCCACGTAGTCGACCGTGGTTCGCGTCGCGGTTCACGTCCCAGTTCGCGTCCCAGACTCGGTGGCTTAAAACTCATGCTGGGCTCGTGTGCGTGCGTGCCCAAGATCCCGAGAGGAGAATGGAGGAGAAGGGATTGCGGCGTGACCATCCCCTCTGGGGGGTGATTTCTCGCTTTCTGTCTCTATGTCTCTCTCTGTCTTTCTGGTGAGCGCATGCGCCCCATAGCAAAAACCTCTCCAAAAAAAAAAAAAAAGAAAAAAAAAGAATGTGAGTCAAGTTGCTTCAAAATAAGGTGACGCTAGGATGTTCACCCCTGAGAGTTTCATAAAGCAAACAGACGCAGTCCCTAAAAGTTACCGAGTGCTTTCTAGCATGGGCAGCAGTAACTGGAATTGTTTTTAAATTTAACCGAGGGTTTTAAGGAACCTCAGAGATTGTTCCCTGTGTTATAAACGATGAGCCTGTGGGTCAGTTGAGAGGCAGATGTATGAATTCATCCCTGGCTCCCGCTGCTATTGGTTTTTCTGAAGGTTTTTGCCATGGGGCATGTGTGCTTGCAAGAGAGACAGAGAGAGGGAAAGTGAGAAGTCACCCATGGGGGTGGGGGAGGATGGCCACGCCGCGGCAATCCCTTCTCCATTCTCTCCTCAGGGTTTTGGGTATACATGCCCCATGATTTTCAAGCCCCCACGTCTAGGACTTGAACTATGTGGTCAGCCATGTGAGAGTCCAGTGCCTTAACCACCACGCCACCTGCTGTCCCTTATTTTATCTAAAATTTTTAAGAACTGTTATTTTGCCAGAGGGTCATTTGCTGGCCAGCGGGGCGTGATCATGTTGCAATCCCTTCTCTATTTCTCCACCGTGTTGGGACTGTGGGGCACACATGTTCAGTGTTTTCAACATCGCAGGGGTCAGGAATCGAACCACATGGTTGGCCATGTGAGATCCAGCTCCCTTAACCACTAGCCCACAGGCTGGCCCTGGCTGCCAGTTGAGTTTTGGGCTCAACCCCAACTCCCATCCAGAAATAGGGGGTATAGGGTGGGAAATGGGATAATTTCTGAATAAGCCTATTAACACAGCTTAGTTTCTCGTAAACTAAATTTTAAACTGTTGAAGAGTTGCCGAGTGTTCTGTTTGAATTTGTCAGTGTATGAAAACAAGCATCAAATGTCGGCGCTCTGTCCATTCTGTCATTTCTTGAGTGATGTCTCTGTTAAACATACAGGAGGACTGTTTAATCATATTCCCACATTCTTGTATGCAGGTTGTCTAGATCTTGAAGCCTGAAGCTAGTTCAGTCAACTTTCTGCCTTCGGGCCGGTTCTGAGCCCTGATGGCTAAGGCAGTTGGATCCCACACTCCTATGTGGTTCGAATCTGGATTTGGCAGCTTGCAGACGCACAGTGGTGTGTGTACATGCCTGCCGAAAATGCTGAGGAGGGAGAAAAGGAGAAGGGATTGCAGCGTGACCATTCCCCATGGAGGGGTGTTAGCTCCTCTTCCTCTCTCTCTCTAGTGCATATGCACCTTCCAGCAAAATAGCAAACCACAAAAAACAAAAACCTGCTTTACTATTAAAATGTCAGATAGTTTACATATTGTAGGAATACATGAAAGTTTAAAAAAGGTAAACTCAAATTGGGCAAAGAATGGCAAAAGAAAAAATACACTAAATAATGTGTTGTAAAGTGTTACAGTAATTAAAATTCAGCTGTAATTTTGGTTTTGAATGTCTGGGCAGCCAGAGCCAAACCAGTGGCATCTCCGCAGCCCCGGCAGCCCTGGTGCTTGGACAGCAGAGCTCCCCTGGCATGCTGGCAGAGCAGTGGCCCTGTCGGCGTGGCCCCTCACATCCATGTTCGCAGAAGTGAGTTTTCTAAAGAGATCTGGGAACAGGTACCTGCAGCTGTGGGTATTATGTGCTCCTCACCTATTTCGGGGTTTGAATTTCCTTTTTTTTTTTTTTTAAAGGTTTTTGCCAAAGGGTGCTCACTGAAGAGAAACAGAGACAGAAGGAAAGTGAAAAATCAGACCCCGGGGTGGGTGGGTGGGTGGGTAGGGGGATGGCGATACTGCGATCTCTTGTCCATTCTCCTTTTGGGATTTTGGGCACGCACACACATGTGCCCGGTATGATTTTCAAGCTGCCAGGTTCGGGACTTGAACTACGGTTGGTCATGTGGGATGGCAGCACCTTGACCACCACCATGCTGGTCCCTTAAACTTGTATCAGCACTGAAGGGTTATTGTCCTGAGTAAAACCAATTAGGAATGGGTTACTAATGGTATATAGTTAATGAGAGAACTTCTAGAAATTCATGGGAAGTAGAATGAAAGTGAGTTTGTTTTTATATAAAAAATATAATTGAAATCTATTCCCGGTTTTCATTGTACTTACTTTCTGAAGATCCCTTTGTATAGGGGCCTACTCATTTTTGTTTTGAGCCATAAGCATTCTTTCTTATTTGGTGACGTGTATGTTTTATTTATTTTGTAAGAGATTTATGCCATTGGGTGTGCACACTCCCTGGAGATAGATAGCAGCGACAGAGAGAAAGAAAATGAGAAATCACCCCTCGGGGGGATAGCCACACCATAATCGTTTCTCTTCCATTCTCTTCTTGGGATTTTGGGCATGCACTTAACACTTGCCCGGCTGTTTTAAACTGCCAGGTCCAGGACATGGGAGTCCAGCGATGTAACCGTTATGCCACCTGCTGGTTCTGACATGTTTTATATTACAGTACTGTCTTACAGACCTCTCACAAATCTGAAGTCAGGGATTCAGTGTGGGTGAGAAGGCACACGCCCTGGAGATGGAGTAACTTGTTTGGGTTCACGCTGGTCACCACTATGGCTTTTCACTTACGAGCCTGTGCCCTGGGACAGGCTGCTTTCATAAGCTCAACAGGCTCCAGGCCTTTGCTATTTTGGTGTTCGGCCACTTGTTCTTTACATCACTAAAAAACAAGAGTTTGGGCTAGCCCTGCCTGGTGGTGAAGGTGACTAAATCCTATATGGCCGACTGTGGCTTTTAGTGCCAGACCTGGCAGCTGGAGAAACGCGCCGGACACGTGCACGCGTACCCAACATCCCGAGAGGAAGGGTTTGTGATGTGACCATGCCGCGTAGAGGCAAAGATAGGGAACGCAGACGCTTTCTTCCTAGGTTTACACCGTAATGCTTTCTTTATCTGCGTAAATGAGGCTGTCGTTCCCACCGTGACTCGGCACTTACCGTCATGCCTTCCCGTTACTCTAATCGTCCGTAAGGCAAAGCGGTCTACAAAGAATAGCTTACATTAACAAAGTATGAAACACATCTAATTCTTACGATTTTCAAACAAACAAATTCTTGTTTTTCTTTTTTTTTTTTTGAGGATTTTGTTATAGGGCGCATGTGCTCACCAGAGAGAGACAGACAGAAAGCGAGAAATCACACCCTGGGGGCGGGGGATGGACACGCCGCAGTCCCTTCTCCATTTTCCTCTCGGGATCTTGGGCACACATGCACATGCGCCCAGCGTGAGTTTAAGCCACCAGGTCGGGACTGTCCAGCCACATAGCCGTTACGCCCACTGCTGGTCCCTCAACGACAATTCTTACAGAGAATCGCCACATGTCCCCGTAACTGTAAGTAAAGACCAACACAAAGGAATTCCCAGAATCCCTGTCGTAAGTGCTTCTACCGTGGTGACTCCAAAGGATGATGCGTAAGGAGTTTCATCAGTGTTCTCTGCATCTTATGTCTGTGACATGCCGGTGTTTCCAGAAGACTGTCTGCAACCAGCAGCTTTCCTACACCCTCCTCCCATACTCATCCTGCACGTCTTACTGGACAACTCGAGATGCAGACATGATTTCGGCCTTCATTCTCATCTAGATTAGCTTGCTTAACGCTGACCGGGCTTTTCTCCGGGCTGGAATGCCTTGGGGCAGGTAAGCAACATTTAACGGGCGGGCAGCCTTGGTGGTGCAGCGGGTGGGAGACTACGTGGGCGGGCCCAGGTCCCAGGTCTGCATCAACATACCTGGTGCACCTGTGATGGTCTTGGATGGTCATAAAGACCCTGTGAGGGATGCCCCCACCTCTTCTCTGGAAATAAAACCAGTCATGCCCATTCTATTAGGTATTCTTTTTTTTTTTTTTTTGCAGAGGTTTTTGCTATAGGACATGTGTGCTCGCCAGAAAGAGACAGAAAAAGTGAGCAATCACCCCCCCGGGGGGGGAGGGCCACACCGCAATCCCTTCTCCATCCTTCTCTCGGGATCTTGGGCATGCACACACACGTGCCTGGCAGGAGTTTAAGCCACCAGGTCCAGGACTCGAACCGTGGTCGACTACATGGGAGTCCCAGCGACAGGTATTCTGATCCATATTCTTTTTCAGCAACATAGAAGTACCAGTAGCCGTGCTAAGATTGGACCCAGTATTTTAACTGGTACGGATGTTCTTCCTGCTTGTCACTGTTTCCAGACAGCCCCAAGATTTTGTGTATACAGTGTTCTCAAAACCTTCATTCATTCAAAATAAAGGGAGAGTATCTGGGCGAGAATTTGGGGGGCCTCTAACCATGGCGCTGAGATACCACGGAAGCATAGCACAAGTGCTTGCAGTGTATAGCCACACTTTGACCTTCACCCACCTTTAAGTGAAGCATTTGTGCGTGAGCAGTGACTAGGTGTCACCACACCACAGCGTCAAAAGGTCAGAGCTGCCCCTAGATGCTTTTTGGATGAAAAAGACAAGATATTAAAAGCACTAGTTTTAAAAGACCATTTATTCATCTTAAATATTTACAACTCCATGATTAAAATACGTACCAATGTATTACGTAAGTTATTTGTTTAGAAGAGGCTTCACCAGCTATCTTGACTTCTATTTCTGATGGAAAATTCCAGGTTTCTGGATTTTTACATTCTTCTTTCTAGATGTTTTGAATGCATTACCTTCCTATTTTAGGTCATTTCAATGACAACCTATTAACAGGCTTTCTAGAAAGTTCTCTGTCTCGGAAAAGAAGGTGGCACTGCCTTTTTCAGTCACCGCCACACAACAGCTCCTAAATGACCTAGAGCGAAAAGTCCATTCCAATACCAGTCACGGTGACATCGAGTAACCTCACTGTATACCAACATTTTAATGGAAAAGTGTAAGTTAAAAGTGATGACATAATGCAAACTAATTGACTATGAGATCTCTCTCACAACAAAACACTGGAAAATATGGCGGCAAAACAAGGGTTGTTATGAAGAATGGGTCTGGGAGTCTTGATACTTAAATAATGGAAACCCCTCCAGGCTGAGAACCTCCTCTGTACACATTTTCTTAGACACCCCCAATGAAAACATTTTAAAGCTTCAAGAAAATTACTATAAATTACTCTCTATATAACTCATTTTGCATGGTTCTAAAATGTTCTTAATGCTATCATTTATTTATTGTACATGAAGATATAAAAAAATAAATATTGCCATGCATTATTTTGTTGACATTAAAAAAAAAACCACAAATAAATACAGTGAAATGCTGTCTGGAGAAATTGCTCCTAAATACTTACTAATAAGGGAGGACTCCAGCGCATCTGGGTTTTCATAGCATCGTCAAACTGAAAAAGCTTCGAAACAAGGCTAAATTCACTGCCCCTAAATGATCAGAATCTAACACGAAGGCAAAGGAAACAAGACGAGCCAAAAACTGGAGTGCCAATGCCTTTTTTCCGCTAGAGGTTTTCACGGACGAGGTTTGGGAACTAACGGGCTGCTTTTCCAGCAGTCTGCTGGACACACGGACAGTGAAGTGACAGAAACCGGGACTCCCTCAGGCGACCTCGTATCCTATGTCAGTTTCCTGGAACACCCCTAGTTAAGACTCTCGCGATTAAAAAGGGGCAGAGGAGGATTTATAGAAGTCCTTGGGGCTCCTCGTTAAAGCTGAAGTCACACACTAGAGACAGGTGGTCTGATGGGTAGTGAAAGGACGGGAGCCGGTTGGGGCCGATCTGCTCCTCGGTGAGCAGATCGAGGGCCGACCTCACGCTCAGGGCGTGCTGGGAATACCAGATATAATCCAGGGTGTGCCGGCACTCCCCCGAGGTCCGGATCTTCCAGGTGGTGTACGGGGGCTCCGACTGCCCGTCGGCGCTCAGCAGCTTGTAGGCGCTGTTCAGGTTGAGGCTGGAGGACGCGAAGTGTTTGTAGACCTCTTCTGTGGGCTCTGCGTTGAAGTCCCCGCAGACGATGAGGGGGATCTTGGCTCCCTGCGTGATGTTCTGCAGGTTCTGGAGAAGATCGCAACCTTGGGCTGACCGAAACCGCTCCCAGCCAGTGCGTGCTTTTAAGTGGGTGACGGCGATGCAGAACTGCCGCCCCGACTCCTTGCACTCCAGGGTCTGTGCGATGGCCACCTGGTTGGTTTTCAGTGTCATGGCCGTCAGCCGGATGTTGGCACTGTTGACTAGATTGAAGCGGTTCTGGAGGAAAAATAAGGCACAGCCATCCGGTCCGTTGTTGTGTTCCACATCCAGACAAGGTGACCAGGGCTTGGGGAAGAACGTGCCTCGATAGCCCAGTCTGCTGAGGAGTGGCTGGAAGGTGTCGAAGTAGTGGTCCACCTCTTGGAGGCACAGGATATCCGGCTGGTAGGCTAGGATTTCTTCCAAGATGAGACATTTCCTTTCTTCCCACTTGAGCGCTTCAACGGGGCACTGCACAAAGTTGTCTTTGCCTTCTCCGAGAGCTGAAAAGGAAAAGCCAGTCAGTCATCATCACCACAGATCCACGACGTCGAAGTACATGGAGTCTCCTTAGGTTGGGGTGCTACTCAGGAGCCCTGGAATACTCCCTCTGCCTCATGGTCTGGGGGCAGCTTCTCCATCTAAGCTGCTTAACCCACCCGAGCTAAATGACGTCCCGCCATCGGGGTGGAACTAGCAACTGCGTTTTGGTTTTCCTTTCTATTAAGACTCTTGGCTTGTCAGAAAGGTCATGGCCTATTTTTCTGTGCAAAAAACACGTGATGGCTTTTCTGACAACCCAGTATTCCAGGATATGAGATCGTGGCTCGAGCCTTATTTAGGGAAACTTCTGCAATCCCAGGGATTTAAAAACGACAAATCAAGTAAGTCCTTTTAACTCTATATACTCATTTTAATACTGACTATTGTCGTGTGAACTGATGTACCATGTTGCTCAGAATGAATGGGACTATTTTAAGTGGGCAGCTTTTCCTACTTACAAATGAACATGTGGGAAAAATAAAAGAATTAAAGATTAGCAACTCGGGGAGTATTCTATTATTTCCCAGACAGAAAACAAAAGCCCTTTTTATTAAAATTTCAATTGCTACATAAAGGGTAATACTATAGAAAATTGATTGACACCTGTAACTCAGCAGATTCAAAAAAGGGGTCCTTTCTACCATCACAAAATATCTAATGAACAGATAAGTGAAACATCTTTTTGATCTCATGTTAGTTTGAATTTCAGCAAAAAACACACCAAGCACGTGTGCATGCCCCAAATCCCAGCAAAATGAGGAAGAGAGATTTCAGTGTGACCTCGTTGCATGGCAGGAAGGAGCTTTCTCCTTTCTCCTCTCCCTGGCAAGTGCACAAACCTGCTGGTAATTAAAAAAAAAAAAAAAAAAAATAGGTGTGGGGACTAGCAGATGACATATTGGTTACGTTGCTGGACTCCCACATAGTCATGGTTCAAGTCCTGGACTCGGAGGTTTAAAACACACCAGGTGTGTGTGCACATGTGTGCCCAAAATCCCAAGAGGAGAATGGAGAAGGGATTGTGGTGTGGCCATCCCTCCTGGGGGGGGGGGGTAATTCTTTTGCTTTCTGTCTGTCTCTCTCCGGCAAGTACACACGCCCTATGGTAAAAATGTCTCTCAAACCAGCAGTTAGCACAATGACTATGTCACTGGACTCCCACGTAGTCGACCACGGTCTGAGTCCCGGACCTGGTGGCTTAAACTCACACCGGGCGCATGTGTGTGTGTGTGCCCAAGATCCTGAAAGGAGAATGGAGGAAAAGTGATTGCGGTGTGGCCATCCCCACTGGGGGGTGATTTCTTGCGTTCTGTGTCTATCTCTCTGTCAAGCGCATGCGCCCTATAGCAAAAACCTCTCAAAAAAAAAAAGTCTCAAAAAAAAGGTATGTTATGGACTTGATTTCTCCCCTGGAAATGCGATCTTAGTGCTGTACTGAAACCTGGGAGCAGTGAAGTGGAGGCCGTTCGACTGAACTAACAGGTATGTGGAGCCGTAGACAGGCTCTCCTTGCATGGATGGTGTTGCTAGTGGAAACCAGATGACTCCCTTCCCCAACATCCCCTCCTGGGAGAACTTCATGCTGCCCTGGTCCCCCGTCCTTCCACACCCCATTCCTCCCCAGGAGACATCGAGCACTGGGCAAGTGCAAAGCAAAAGGAAGTCCCAGCACCCGTCACCGCTCAGGCACAGGTGTGACGGGCGCACCTTGGGCCAGGATGTTCCACTGCATGACCCTGATGGGTGGGTGGCTGCTGCGGCAGTCTGTCCTCAGGTCCACAAAATCCCTCTGGAACCGGGGAGGCCGAGTGTGCAGGACAGCCCTGCATTCCTCGAGAAGCTCTTTGGGATCGATGGGCTCCAGGTGTTCGGGGTCGGGGGGCACCAAGTACTCCGGGTGCTGGGAGGCCGCGCTGCTGCTGAGTGTCTTGGCGAGAGCACTGTAGAGTCTGCTCGTACCGGTTCCCATGGGACTCGCTACGGGAAGGGAAGACAGTTACACTGGGATCCGCCCGCCTTCTCCCGCCCGCAGGTAAGAGGAACACCCACTGTCCACGCAGGCGAGCTCCACGGAGGGCAGTGTCGCCACGGACAGCCACGCACAGCCATCCTACAGAGGCGGATTACAGGAGTGTCTGGGTTCTAGCTTTCCACTGTGATTCAGCACTGCTGTGAAGATAGCCTGTGATTAAGATGACTAACTTTTATTTTATTTTGCCAGAGGTGCATCCTCTCTTAATGGGCCCTCTTCCCCTTTCTTATAACCTCTAACCGTTGATCTTTGACCACCCGGCAACTGCTCAGGCGGGCTTAGCCCAAGGCATTCGGGGGCTGGGTGATTCCCTTCGTGATGACTTGGAGCCTAGTACCTTGAAATGGGGGCTCAGCGAAAATACTGATTAAAACCCAAAGAAAAAAGCCCCAAAGCCAAGAATATATTGGGTATACACTTCGGAAGACAGCGCAGCTGATCAACCGTGGGCCCAAGGAAACCTTCTAAAGTCTCCAATACCCCAAAAATGTGAACTACCGACGTTAAAGGGAGCAGACCCACACGGCAGTCCAATGCTGCCATCTACTGGCCACGTGTTGAACTGCTCGTGAGCCAAGGGCCGACTTGGTGGCTAATTTTCCCCAGGCTTCTTGGAGAAGGCACCTGAGTTACTGTGGCCACCTCCCCTGTGCGGCTGGAATCAGTCTGGATTTGCAGACACTGAATACTTATTGAGTATATTTTGAAGGAATCAATATTCACAGCCTCCAAGTGCAGCTATGGTTTTCTTCTGGCCTGCCTCTTGCTTAGGTCATGCACAGGTGTTTTCTTTGTTTGTTTGTTTGTTTTTAAGTTTTTTTGCCATAGGGTGCCACAGAGACAGTGACAGGGAAAGTGAGAAATCACCCCCCAGGGGATCCTGTCTCCTCCATTGTGAACTACCGACGTTAAAGGGAGCAGACCCACACGGCAGTCCAATGCTGCCATCTACTGGCCACGTGTTGAACTGCTCGTGAGCCAAGGGCCGACTTGGTGGCTAATTTTCCCCAGGCTTCTTGGAGAAGGCACCTGAGTTACTGTGGCCACCTCCCCTGTGCGGCTGGAATCAGTCTGGATTTGCAGACACTGAATACTTATTGAGTATATTTTGAAGGAATCAATATTCACAGCCTCCAAGTGCAGCTATGGTTTTCTTCTGGCCTGCCTCTTGCTTAGGTCATGCACAGGTGTTTTCTTTGTTTGTTTGTTTGTTTTTAAGTTTTTTTGCCATAGGGTGCCACAGAGACAGTGACAGGGAAAGTGAGAAATCACCCCCCAGGGGATCCTGTCTCCTCCATTCTCCTCCTGGGATTTTGGGCACACACGTACTCGGGGTGATTTTCAAGCCTTCGGGTCCAGGACTGGAACTGCGGGTGGCCATATGCTATTCGAGTCCAGTTTACCACCTGCTGGGCCCATGCTTGGGCATTCGAACCACTTCCTTGTCCTTTACCCAGGGGGCTAAGCTCCTGGAGGGCAGGGACTGTCTTCCTTTTTCCCCACGACCCCACTAGTGCCTGGTCCAGTACTTTAAAAAAAATGTTACGAAAAGAAAGGATGGGGCCGGCCTTGCAGTGCCCTGGTCGGCATGGTCAGCGAAGGGCCCAGTGCCTGCTGCAAGGCAGTGCCAGTGCCCGCCGTGTGGCGGCGCTGGGGCCTGGTGCCCACCGCGCTTTGAGCTTGCCATGCCTGGGGTCCTGCCGGAAAGGCAAACCGGAGGAACAACACATGCTGTGCGACCAGGCCCGGGGGAGGGTACGTGCTCTTTTTCTTGTGCACCGCCTTGGGCATAAAAAATGTTTTCAATGTAAAAAAAACTCGTAAGAAAGGATGGCAAGTGACAGCGAGCGTCGAGGAATCCCTGACATGCGGGCACAGAGAGCCTTCACTGGCACTGGGCCCTGTGGCTTGCTGTTACCTGCTACCCCTCAAGAAGCCCTCGGCCATTAACACCCTTTTACAGATGAGGATGCTGAGTTCAGAAGTTCCAAGTTCCAATGGTTGGAACTGGGCCACTTTCCAAAAATATATATATATATATTTAATAAGTGTGAGAGAAATAGGGAGACAGGCACCCTGCACTCTCAACAGGGTCTGAGTCACGATCCTGCAGCTTTTCCAGCAGCTGGGATGGCGGCACAGACAGCTCCACCAGGGAGCTGAACGGCATGGTCCCAGCATCGTGGAGCAGGGTGCCACCACTGTGCCACCGCAGTTGGCCCCGGGTCAGATATGGTGGTGCTGACCAGTCTCTGAATCTCGGTTACTGGGGCCTGGGATGAGTGCACCAGGCCCCGTGGAGCACTGAGCAATCCGGTAAGTGGGGACTTGGCTTCCAGCTGCAGCCTCTGCTCTCCTGCGGGGAGCCTGCTGCAGTCCAGCAGGGGCAGGACAGTCCCCAAAGCACAGACTGGTCAGGCTGCCCGGTGTCAGACCCCAGCTCTGCCTCCTACCAATGGGATCCCGGGCTCCACCGAGACCTCTGCAGGCCTGTTTCTCCCTTTGGGGATAATTGTAACCGAGCTCATTTGGCTCCTGGAGGATTAGCGGAGTTAAAGGAGATGTACTTAGCACGGCCCAAGCGATCGGCTGTCACACTCGGCCAAGTTCACGCTGCAGCTTAGAGGAGGCTGTCACCATCTGAAAAAACTGCCAGACTGCTTTTATATCTCTCTGGGCTCTTCCCAACAGTCGGCGGAACAGACCTTCCACTCACTCTCTGCCAGCTTTGAAAGAGCTCAGAGCTCGCACAACCGGGGGCGCTGGCCCCCGGGGAGTTACCTGCACCTCGGACCTTCAACAGTGCTGACTCTATGGAGCCTGGCCAGGGGCACGCACGGCGCCCATTCTCCACGCCAGGAACAGTCGGGGTCAAGTTCCACCGCCCGTCGACGTCACTGTCCTCCCGGCACACGCACTGACGCAGCACAAAGTGTACAAAGCGGTGTCACGACCCGCCCGGCCTTCCCGGGGCTATCAAGTGAAGGGCAGGTCTCTCAACCCGACACGTCTAAAAATACACGCGCCTGGGCGCCCCCTGGCGGCCTAGGGGCCTCCTCGCCAGGCAGCAGCCAGCCCAGAGCAGGGCTTTCCAGACCCGGCTGAGCCCCATCTTCGGTCATGGCAGAATGATCCAGAAAACGGCTCCAAGGAAAAGGGCACCCCTGCACAGTGAAGGCTCAGCTCACCCTCTGACCCGAGCTCCGCGGGCTGGTTGGCTGCCAGTCACTGCCCACGCTGGACCTTCCCTGCAGAGCTCCAAGGGGAGACTGAGAAAGCTGAGCCCAGAAAGCTGCTGGTGTCGATCGCTGGCTTTTCTGGGCCTGTTTACCCAGTTGTGAATGGAAATATGAAAACCGAAAGGCGCACTCTGCTGACAGCAGAGTTATCGCTAGACCAGAGGTCCACAAACAATGGCCCACAAGCCCCATCTGGCCAGTGTCCTGCTCCCGTCTCCCTGTCATGAATGAAGGCCTCTCCATTTCTTCAATGGCTGAAAAAAATTCTTAAGAACGGTAGCATCTGACAGCATGTGAAAATGCTACGAAATTCAGACTTCAGCCTCTGTGAGTGAAGCTCCATACTGTACCGTCTAGAGCTGCTTCCCCACTGCAACAGCAGAGCTGGGACAGACATATGGTCCCCAAAGCCGAAAATACATACTAGCTGGCTCTTTACAGAAAAAGCCTGCCAACCCTGCTCGAGAAAACACTGAAGTGACACTGTACAGCCAGCTCACGTTTTCAACAAGACCAGTGGAAGATTTCCCGTCGCTTGAAAGGGGGGGGAAATGATTTGCACAAAGTTCCACAGCCTTAATTAAGGCACGTGTGCATGCGCGCCCAGAAATCCTGAAAGGAGGGAGGGAGAAGGGGTTGGCGGTAACCATTCCTTTGGGGAGGAGGGGGGCGGAGGTTTGCTTTCTCCCACTCTCTCCCTGCGTCTCTGTCTCTCCCGGTGAGTGCGTGTGCCCTCTGGCAATTGAAAAAAAAAAAAAAACAAAGATAAAATGAGAATGGACAGGTTGCACACAATGAATAGTTTACCAGGCATGTTGGTTCTAGATCAAGATAGTTAACTGGGAACACTTATTCTCTCCTTCCTAAGATCTCAAGAATAAAGTAGCTACAACTCAAAAAATGGTAAGGAGTGAATGAAGAGCTTTGCAAAAACAAAAAGGGATGCCATCAATGGACTAAAAATTAGAAGGAATTCCAGGAAGAGAAAAACAGTTTTGAATTCAGAGAGAAACCAGAGTGGAGGGAAACACAATTTAAGCCACCAAAGGTAAGTACAGTTCTTCCCAAGGGCGTCTGGGGAAACCTCCAAGCTGAGTCAACAAACAGAAGGGCAGGAGGGGCCGAGTGGAGCCAAGTGGAGCCTGCTGGGGCAATTACTTCAAGAATGAACGGCAAACAGCTGCACCGGTTACATCACCTCCTCTCTCTCTCTGTTCGCAAAGGGGCTTTGCAGGATGGACGGAACCTGAGGATGCTCTGAAGAAAGTGGATTATGAGCCGTAGAGGGGCTTACAGCAATGAACGGACCTCACAGAGGAGCAGACCAGATGAGAGGTGAACTGAACGCGGGGGTACTTGCCCAGAAATGGTGCTGGGGGCTTAACAGGCTAGAGAACACAACACCCTCTCCTCTCTCTGGCTAAGGTGGTCTCTGGCCTGCTGCCTCACGCGTTCGGCAGGGAAGCCTGGCTGCTTCCTGCCTAGACAACTTGGCATGGACAGTGCACACACCTCTCTCAGGGACAGGCCTGAAGGAGAGACCACAGACACAGCTACATAGGGGGTGCCACGGCTTGCTCTGCGGTTCCATCCCACTCTGATATTTTTTCTTTTTCCTTTTAGGTTGTCACAGGATGCATGCACTCCCCTGAGACAAGAGAAAAATCATCCTCCACGGGGAATGGCCACACCATAATCCCTTCTCCTCTAGCCTTCTCTTGGGATTCTGGGCATGCATGCACACGTGCCCAGTGTGATTTCCAAGCTGCCAGGTCCAGGACTTTAACTGCGGTCGGCCATGTGGTTATCTAGCACCTTAACCATACCACCTGCTGCCCCGAGTATTTTCAACTTCTGATGGCATGTGGCATGCCCACAGCCTAGCTGAGCCTACCTGCAAGGCGCTCTGAACACTCTCATGAGCTTACAGCTGGGTGAGCATCTAACAAAAGCCTATTCTGCGATGCGTCGAATCCCAGGTAGTTTATCGAATACTGTACTGAAAGTGAAAATGGAATAATCCTTATTACTGTAAGCCAAAGTCATTGTCACTTTAAAAACAAAACAAATGGTAGCCTGTACCATTGCGATGTTGAAAAACTTTAAGTCAAATCATCCTAAATCATAGACCCCTGTGTATTTAAAGCTACAAGGGACATTACAGACACAAAGCGCAGGCTTCTATGAGAAAAGGAGCAATTAGAAACCAAATGCTAAAGAACGGCATGTCTTCAGATCACGTGGGCTGGGAGACTTATTCTGACCAAACTTTTGAACCTCAAGGATAAAAAAGTCTTGTAAGCCTCAGCTGAAACTGGGAGTGTGCATCATAGGATGTGGATCTGGTTGGGGGTACCTGTCTCTCTCTCTCTTGCTCATTAAGGAAAGAAATAAGCTGAAAAAGGACAGAGGACAATCCTTGGCCTGGTGGTTGTCAGCTGGATCCCACACTGCCCAATGCACAGCTGAGTTCCAGACCTGGAGCTTGAGAAAGCGAGAAATCACTTTCTGGGGAGATGGCCACACTGCAATCCCTTCTCCTCCGGGTATTTCTGGCTATGCATGTACATGGATGGGGCCTGGTATGAATACCAAGCCTCCGGGTCCAGGACTCGAACCATGATTGGTCATGTGGAAGTACAAAAATGTAACCTTACTCCCTCTGCTGGCCCTCCAAAAGGAAAATCATAAAGCTTCTAGAGATAATCAATACTCATAGTATTTATAAAGTTACACAAAAGGGGGGCCAGCAGGTAGTCTGGTGGTTAAGGGTGCTGGACTCCCACATGGACAACCGTGGTTCAAGTCCTGGGCTTGGCAGCTTGTCTTCTCTCTCCCTCTCTCTCTTACTCTGTCCCTCTCTGGTCAAAATAAAATAAATAAATGAATAAAGTTAAATAAATAATTCTTAAAAAAAAAACTGTACAAAAGGTTTTCACAGTGAGCATGTATTACTTCTGCAAATTTCAAAAAATGTAATAAAAAGTATCAGGTTATAAAATAATGTCCGTATAAAATTCAGAATTATTTCCAAACAAATTTTCAGAACCACACTGAAAGGGAAATTAATCCTTGACATGTGTCTCAGCAAATCTATCTGGCCTACGGGATTTGTAAAATAAACGTGTTCCTTCAGCAGACTCTCAGTGATAGTTAACACCCATGAAAGCAAAACACAGAGAGTATCAGTACTATCTCCAAGGTGCTACTAGACTCTGCAAAATAATGCCATTTTGTACCCTGTACTGCACACGGCCCTCCCTCCTGGGGGCTGATTTCTCACGTTCTGTCTTGTCAATCTGGAGAGTACATGTGCCCTATAGTAAAAATCTCTCAAAAAAATAAAAACAAAACAAAACCAAAAACCAAAAACACCCCTCACACCGGGCTCATGTATACGTGCATGCCCGAAGTCCTAAGAGGAGAAGGGATTGTGGCGTGGCCCTGGGGACAATTCCTTGCTTTCTGTCTCTCTGGTGAGCACGTGCACTCTATAGCAAAACAAAACAGGAAAACAAAAAGCGCAAGATGTCATAGCTGGTCTCCATGAAGTAGTCCTAGTGGGTTCATTCTGGGGCACACCGTCCTTCAAAGTTCCAGGTATTTACTGATAGCTGATAACTCCATAGCAGTGGCTATCAAAGCCCCACGAATTCGAGTGAGTCAGGAGTTACTGCTCACAGTAAATACAGATGTGGTGAGCCTCATTTTCCCCCCCCAAAAAACAGAATCTGCCACACCTGTCTGTCAGCAGCCTCTGAGAACCCCCTTCACTACACAGGCGCCCCACCCTGCTGCACAGCTGCTCGACTGCAGGGGCACTTCCTTCCGCCCTCGCTGTGCCATAATCAGGCCAACCCTTCCCTTCCTTTGCACCTACCTTTCTTTCTTTCTTTCTTTTTTTTTTTGGGGGGGGGTCACTATTCTTGCTCAGGGGTCTCCTGCACTGCCTTAGGCCTCAACCTCAAAGACCTGAATGCTCTCCCAGAGTCCTTTCCAGCGTTTCGCTCACTTTCCTTTGGAGACGGGTGGAGTTTATGAAATACTCCCCCAAATTTTCCAGAAAGAGTCACTTGGGGTGTTTGTTACATAAACAGCAGGTCAGGCTTTCCCTCAGGAAGCTGGGTCAGCAGGTAGGGGAAAGACCAGCAGTCTGTATTTTCCCAAGTGTCTCAGAGCATTCTGGAAGCACACCCCTCCTTCTTCTGGGCGTGGTGTGGGCTTCTCCCACCTCCTACGCTCCACACCCCCTTCCACAGAAATACCTTCCTTTCCCCTACTCCAAGCAAAGTTTCTTTTCCCCAGGAAATCCGATCACACAGATTTCTTTCTCCTCTTAATTCCTATGAGTCATATGACACGATGTCATATTTGACCTTTATTTATTTATTTATATTGGAGAGGTTTTTACTATAGGGAACATGTGCTTCCTGGAGAGACGGACAGCCAAGTGGGAGTCTAGCACCTCAACCACCATACCACCTGCTGCCCCCAATATATATGTAATTTGCTGGTCCCTGACCCCAAAATTTGACCTTTCAAATGTACTGAGGTTGGGACCAGCAGTTAGCATAATGGCTATGTCGCTGGACTCCCATGTACTCAACGGCGGTTCGAGTCTCGGACCCAGTGGCTTAAACTCATGCCGGGTGAATGTGCGTGTGTACCCTAGATTCTGAGAGGATAATGGAGGAGAAGGGAGTGCGGCCACCCCCCCGGGTGGGTGTGGAGGGGGTGGCTTCTTGCTTTCTGTCTCTGTCTCTTTCTGCCGTATAGCAATAACCTCTCCAAAAAAAAAAAAAAATACTGATGTTTAATAAAGCTTGCAGATGAACTGCTGCAACTTCTTTATTTTTCTAGGTAAACGTCAGTGTTAAGAGATAGGAAGTGAGCCAGCCCCATAGCCCAGTGGTTAAGGCGCCAGATCCCACATGGCTGGCCCACGTGGCCTGAAAAATCAAGCTCGGCACATGTGTGTGCCTGCTCAGAATCCCAACTGGTTGGAGAAATGGAGAAGGGACTGGGGGTGCTTTCGCCCTACCCCTCTGGTGAGTGCACCTGCCCTGACAATTAAAATAAAAGGAGAGAGAGACAGCAGGCAAGGCTAAAAGATCTGCATATGTTCATACGTAAGTATGGGGAAGAGGATTCCAGAGCCACCATGTTTAACTCCAATCCCCGACAGTTCATCGTCCTCATGTGATGCCGTTACTACCGAATGCTACCAGAAAATGAACCTTAGTTTCCCACAAGAAAAGCAACTTACTCTGTAGAAGCTCGATAATTACACGCTTTCCCATCCCTTCTCGCTCATAAGCAGCTTACTCATATAGTTAGGGACGTACTAAATAAAGCCGCCTCCTCAAATGAGCTGGTGTTTGCCTTGAAAACTGTACCGAGAAGGCGCCGTCTTCCGGTGGGGGTGCTGAGGAATTCAGCCAACGCTTCATTATCTGAGGAGGCGGGATGGGTAGACAGCAGGTGTGAGCCCACAGAGGACTCCGACAGCTTTTCATCTAGGACTGCAACTGTGGCAACTGCTGCCTCTTTGTGGGTGCTATCCATGCTTAAGAAAGCAACCTCGAGGGGCCAGCAGGTGGTGTGGGATTGAGGCAACGGATCCTACAAGGCTGACTCC